GTTGACCCTGGTCGTGAACAAACAAATCGCGCGATATCGGTAACATAGTTACCATCATCGGTAATACGTCAGCCGGTACGTAGTTATAAAATTCACAACTACATATTTTGTTTAAAGTCGCATCAACCACTCAAGGGGGTAAGTAGTTATAAAATTCACAACTATTAATAAGTATAAATTTATTAACGGAACTCATTGTGTGGATGAAACGAAAATAAATGTGAAGGTCAAGCGCAGTTTCTTTTTGATAATTAAAAAAATGACTGTTTGTTTAACGGTATAAAATTAAAGAATACTTGGACGCTTACCTCATGAGTGAATTTACGATGAAAGAATTCTTCACTAATTTTGAAGTACATCGTCATATGACAAGAAACCTATTTACTCGCTAAAATCCATAAGAGCATATCAATACCCGCTCTATGGGATCGTCAAGTAAAAAGGGTGACTGTCATATTTGATGTTTTCCGTATAATAATGGTACAATTTTCGGAACCCATAATAAACAAACGCACAATCACACAAGCACCACGATTGTCCAGTCCGTAGCATCGAAATGTTAAAAATGTCCACCTTTTTTCCACATCAATTCATTTACAAAAGTTCCTCACTATGTACCCACTACACATTATGCGTGATGAGTGATTCAAAGATAAAAGTCAGTTATTGCAATAAACTAGAGAGGCGCTAAAGGTCGCAAGTTAAGGCACACTTCAATCTGTGCAAGATCTGTAGTGAATTTCTCGTAAGCAAAAATTTCGCGGAAAGCTTTAGTTTTCGAGTTATTAGCGAAAAACTATTGTTACTAATGCAGTATTCACTCCGTAAATGTTACTTTTGCCGGTCTCGATTGTAAGTACATTTTCGGTAGAGGTCCTACATTCTTTGTAGTGTGCCGAACGTAGAAAGAGACAGCCATACAAAAGACAAAGAGGGATAGAGTTTCGAGCGTTCGGCAAACATGAAAGACTCGTGCGTGTTGTGTCTTTTAAATTTAAAAATTATAATTCTTTATTTTTGGTTTTTCGTCAATGGAACTTTTACCATCGTATTTGTTTCGTTTTTCTGATTAAAATGACACCAAACATGATATGATTACGATCGTAATTACTTATGTAACAAGCCATAAAAATTTCGGGCTTTCACACTTACAGCAAACTATTACATTTGACATTAACGACAGAGATACGAATTCCTCCTAACGGCTTGCTATACAAGTAATTATGATTTTAAATGTACCGTGTTTGGTACCATTTTAGCCAGAAAAATAAGACGAATACGATAATCGAAGTTTCATTCACG